GGTCCGGGACTCAAGTTGGTACTAGGTTGGTCTAGTCCCCTTGCCATCCCTACAATAGATTGTGGAAAGTGAAATAAGGGAATGGGATCGTGGAAATAATGAACAATACCTAAATAACAATAAACAACAACAAGAAACAAATATGGACCATGAGGTGAGGAACAATGACACTGAAATGACAAGAATGAAAAAAAGGTGAAATATAATGTAGAAAGAGATGAGGACTCCCAAATCTCAACAAGAGAACATCCTCTTTCTACTAATAAAATCTCCTTCCTCAATAAATTAATGGAAACCTCTAAGCAAAATTTGATGGAAAACCATGTCACAGTACAGGAAATATAGTGGAAGCAACCCGGGCCACTTATAGAACCCACACACATAGAGTAATCAGATGTACTAGGTGTTGGTAATCGAGCCAACCATTAGTAAATATGTACCAGACATGGTACCTAAGCAAACCAATAAGAAATTTTATACTAGGCGTGGTACCCGAGCCAACTGATATATGTACCAGGTATGGTTCCCAAGCCAATCAAAGAGATATCATGTACTAGGCGTGGTACCCGAGCCAATCATTAGTATGTACCATATATGATACCCGATCCAACTTAAAGTCACACGTCACGCAATCACAACTACAATGAATAAAATCACACTTATAAACACAAGTAAATAGGATAAGTTCATTGCATGTTATTAACAATTATCATTATGCATTCATCCCTTTTCGATTCCCTAACACCATATTGTTCAAGTATTACTAACGAAAGAGTTATCATGCATATATGATGTAAATGAGAAACAATTTAACCATCACCTACCTCGAACCAAGCCTAAAATCTCTATTGAACGTGAGTTTCCCCCTTGTTATGAAATCTATCTTGTTCTTGTTGTTTTAACAATCAAAATAACATAAAATCATATCCAATCGAGCCAACTTAAAGTCACACATCACGCAATCACAACTACAATGAATAAAATCACCCTTGTAAACACAAGTAAATAGGTTAAGTTCATTGCATGTTATTAACTACAATTATCATTATGCATTCATCCCTTTTTGATTCCCTAACACCATATTGTTCAAGTATTACTAACGAAAGAGTTAACATGCACATATGACGTAAATGCGAAACAATTTAACCATCACCTACCTCGAACCAAGCCTAAAAGCTCTATTAAACGTAAGTTTTCCCCTTGCTATGAAATATATCTTGTTCTTGTTGTATAAACAATAAAAATAACATAAAATCATATCCAAATGACCTAAATATACCCGGATTATATCCCAATCCCAAACCCTAAGCAAGTTTCATAATATTTCCACCCAAACCAGCATTTCTCCACCATCAAGTCCAACCAAACCCTCCACTAAAGTCACCACCATGGATCCTAAGGCGTAGTAATTGAATTACCAAGCTAGGGGAGTAATTTACTTACCTTTACGGATGACTTCAATGGAAAATAGGTGAAAACTGCCCCAGGTCGCCTCTACTCTTCCCCAAAACATAATTTTCAAATAATGAGTAGTTTTTGAAATTTTTTGCATTAACTGTGACTAACTCTGCTATAGCAAGCCAATCTCGCTATAGTAGCAGCGATGTAGCGGGATCTTCTGCTACAGCAAGAATTAATTCCACCTCTATAGTAGTGTGTCACCTACTACAGCGGCTTACATGGGACATAAACTCAGAAATCATCCAAAATTCCCAATTCACAAGACACCTTTAAACTTTGACGTTCCAAGCCAACCCCTTAACGCCATGTTCGATATCTGGAGTTCTACTCATCCAAAAGGCCCTATTGACTCCTTAATATCTTAGCAACAAAAAAAATACACTCTACTTAGACATTTAACCCAATCCATTCCCTGAATTTCCCTAGAACTTATCTTTCTCAGATTTCATCCGAGTCTAGCCTAACCTAAAAAATTTAACTCACCAATCTAAAAAGTTTTCTTGCCTGATTTCTTTCAATAAGTTTACCTGTAACGACGGAAAGGGTTGTTACAATCGATGGAAGCAAAATTCTTAATAAACCTGTGGTAGTAGCTAGCAAGACCCATAAAGCTTCTAACTTCAGTCGCAAAGCTAGGTCGAACCCAATTATTAACTTCCTAAATCTTTTAGGAATCCACCATCACCTTTTTATTGAAAACCACATGCCCTAAGAAAGTTATCGAGGTTAACCAAAATTAACAGTTCAAGAACTTCGCATACAATTCTGGTTTCCCAAGGATACACAAAACAATGTGAAGGTTCTCTACATTCTCCTTCTTACTCTTGGAGTAGATCAAAATATCATCTATAAACACAATCACAAAGAAATCCAGAAATGTCTTAAAGATACCATTTATCAAACTCATGAAGGTCGTCGACAATTTGGTTAACCCAAATGGCATCACCAAGAACTCATAATGGTCATATCAAGTTGTGAATGTCGTCAAAGGTATATCCTCAGGCATAATCTTGATTTGATGGTACCCAGACCTCAAATCTATCTTGAAACACACCAAAACACCATGCAACTGGTCAAATAGATCATCTATGCGCGGTAAAATATACTTATTCTGGATCATCACCTTATTCAAATGCATATAGTATGTACACTTCCTTATACTACCATCTTTTTTTCTTACAAACAAGACTGGACCACCCCAAGGGGAAGCATTGGGATAAACAAATCCCTTATCTAAAAGTTCATGTAGTTGAGTTTTGAGTTCTCTTAACTCCGTTGGAGCCATACGATAAGGAAGAATAGAGATTGGGTAAGTGCTCGACTCTAATCTATAGAGAAATAAATATCTCTATTGATACGCTCAAATTACACCTCCCTAAAGAAGTATAAGCGATCGTTATCAAGTAAAGAACCAAACTTGTAGGTTGGGGTCGATCCTACGAGGAAAATGGTTTAGATTTTACTTTAACCAACAATTATATTCAATTAGCCAAAGTACTTCCAGAAACAAGAAATAAAAGGGGGGATTTGTGAAACAAATTGTAAGAATTCAGTAAGTAATCAATAATCAAAAGTCAATTTCGGTTGTTATCAAGATGAGAAAATTAACT